CCAGTCTACATTCCCACCAGCAGTGGAGAAGGGTTCCTTTTTCCCCACAGCCTCTCCAACATTTGTTGTTGGGTGATTTTTTTATGATAGCCATTCTTTCTGGGGTTGAAAAATGTTTAATATACACAATTTTGCAAACAGTTTCACCAAAATTATCCATCTCTAACTTTGACAGCAAGATAATTAGGAGCATAATTAATAACGGCACTTCTCCTAAGTGTGGATATTGGCCATGTGTAAGAAAGTATTCCAAGGGCTGGGGAGATAGCTCAGGAGAATAGGCACCTACCTGGCAACTGCAGGGTCGAATGTATTCCAAGCGTGCCTTCAAATGAAATTCTTGCTGCCTGTAAGCTGCAAACCAGAATGCCAGTCCTTTTAAGTTCCCCAAGGAGATGATAACATGGCTTAGAATTCTCATCTCCAGTTGCTCATTTCTTCTGAATTTCCTAATGCCATCCCCTGCTCCTAGTCATTCAGAGAAAGAAAACTGAGAGTAGGGCCAAGAGCCCTATGCAAGTAAACCACCTCAGGGCCAAAGAGGCACCAATGAAGGGCTCATCTGCCTTTGTCTCAGGATAACCCTTCTTCTGGACTCCATTTCAGTTTTTCAAGAGATAAACCCAGATTCAACAGGAAAGAGTTCAAGGCACCTATGGGAATGGTACAAGCAATTAGAAGCAACTTGTTGGCTCCCTGTTAGCAAAGTCTCCCATAGTGTAACATCCAAACAAATTACGTCTATTTTAATCCTGACCTACCTTGACAGTACCTGCCTTGTCTTCCTCCTGCCTACAGATTCCATAAGAAATTTTTCCTTCTATAGAGTAAACAGAAGCAGTAAAAGTGTCAATAAATATTGTTTTACTCTGTCAATGTAGTAAAGAAAACACCTCTTTCTCGTTTCACTTTTCTCTCTTTCTGCATTGTCACTGAAGATTTCACTTTACTTTCTTCATGCTAACTTTGAAATTCCTGTTCCTGCTCTTGTTTTTCAATAGGTGTTCACTCGGAAGCTAGAGGAGGTGGGCCGGGTGCTATTCCTCATCTCCCTAACGCAGAAGATCCCCACAGCGCACAAGCAGTCCCACGTCTCCATGCTCCAGGAAGACCTTCTCCGGCTGCCCTCTTTTCCTCGCAGTGCTATAGACGCAGAGTTTTCACTTTTCAGTGATCCTCAAGGTACGAAGCAAGCAAAACAGAAGACCCTTCCTCGCACCCTTTGTTGGTTCTTGTCTGGAGAACAGTCTTACAGACAGAGAGTTCTGGAAGCCAGGGATCCTCCAACCTGTGTGCTAGAATCCCCTGGAGAACTCATTATAACCCAGATGGCTGAGTCTGGCCTCCACATCAGAGTTCCAGGATGTGGCCCAGTTTTGCCTTTCTAACAAGTTCCCAGGTGATGTTCACGTTGCCGTCGTACACACAGAACTCGGAGGCAAGGCTCAAAGCTAAAAACCAGCTGAGTCAAAGTATGCAGGGTGTAGGGAGAGGAATGGCTGACTCAGTGAAAGAATAAGAGTTTAAAGGAGGGCAAAACTAATCTGATTGCAGAAATAAGAATAACAGTCACATTTGGATTGAAAGAAATGAACTTCCTGCAAAAGGCACAAGGGACATTTTGAAGTTGATACAAATTATCAACTGTATTGATCAGTTGTTGGTTACATGGCTGTATATCTTGCCACTCACTGAACTCTACATTTAAAATCTATATATGTTATTCTAAATTGAGAATATATATTCTAAATCTACATATGTTGTACTGAATTGAAAGACAGAGATGGGAACAGAAAGAGACCCACTTTGGAATCCCACGCCAGGGATATTATTAATTTGGTTCAGTTAGTATCGCTGTGCCTCAGTTTCCTCATGCAGAAGGCACAGAGTAATAGCAAAAAAAGAGCTTTAAGGACCAGCCAGATAGCTCAGCAGACTAACATGCACAGGGACCGGAGTTCGATCAAGCCATGCCGGCCCCACCCAGGGTGCTCTGAGATGGTGACTGAGACTGAGTGTGGTGGCACACACCTGTAATCCCAGCACTTGGGAGTCTGAAAACAGGAGGATCACTATGAGTCCAATCTACATAGTGAGTCCCTGGAGACAATGTACTAAATTAAAAAAAAAAAAAGCTTTAATGCAAGCAGTGATTAGAAGCACAAGCGCTAGTCCTAGCCTTGCCATTTTCTAGCAGGAGCAGCTTATGTTCCCAAAGCTACAGCTTATGGAGCAGTGAAGTGCTGCAAACACTGGCCCTGCCTTCCCACAGAAAGAACTCAAAAAGCTGTTGATGAAGGTCAGTTGAGAACCAGGAAGTGCTATTCTAATGCCAAGACACCGGGCAAGAAAGGCTTTCAGCAACAGATCTCCTCCCAGAGCCGGCACAGACGGACAGCAGCAGTGGCCTCAGTTCTGGCTGTGTGCTCAGACCGACAGCATTGGCATGGGGGCTAATTTTGTCTGTGCTGTTTCCTCTTCTCGCAGCTGGGAAGGAACTGTTTGGCCTGGACACTCTTCAGAAAAGCCTGTGGATCCAGCTCCTGGAGGAGATGTTCTTAGGCATGCCGAGCGAGTTTCCCTGGGGAGATGAAATCATGCTTTTCCTCAATGTGTTTAACGGGGCTCTGATCCTGCACCCGGAGGACAGCGCCCTGCTCAGGCAGTACGCAGCCACCGTCATCAACACGGCCGTGCACTTCAATCACCTCTTCTCTCTCAGCGGCTACCAGTGGATTCTCCCCACCATGCTGCAGGTGCCTGGGATCTCCTTTGCCAATCAGAAAAGGAGCATGCGTGCTGGCTTGTCCCCTCCTGTCCTGTGCTCCTCAGTTGTGATGTGCTTCCCTGTTCTTCTAGGCCAGTGATTGTCCGTGTGGTCTCTAAACTGGAGCAGCACCCAGACACATGTTTAGAAATGCACGTGATGAGTGCCTCTGAGGGACACTGAATCAGAAACTCTGGGGACAGGGCCCAGTATTATGAGTTTATAGCAAGACCTCCGAGATGGTTCTGTTGCTCTAGGATGTTAGAGCACCACTATGTTCAGTCAAACCAATCACGCGTGACCTCATGCGTGATTGGCTTAAGTTAGGGTGATGTTTCTCCTGAAAGGCTCTTTGACCTCCATTTGAAGTTTGATTTGATTAAATTGGAGGAAGTGGATTTAGCAGAAAGAATTTGTATTTACTCATGCCTGTTGTATATCTGGCTGCATTTAGGAATGCTGAATAAAATTGAGGCAGGTCCATGGGCTGATCCTAGTTCTCTATTTTTGGATAAGTTTCAGTAAAAGTTATAAAAGTAACGTGTTTATACAAAGTTGAGTTTGTTCAACCCACAGGGGCAAGAAATTTACCATGACAAGACTTCCTTAGTTTTAAATATTGGCAGTTTTCTCTATTTTATAACTAATTTACTGATCACCAAGAGCAATTATGCTTATTACAAAAATTAGAAGATAACGTTTAAACAGAAAATACAGATTTCCTAAGTCCTCCTTCCCAGAAAACCATTGCTTATGCTTACACTTCTTAAAAATCCTGGCACTCCATCCAACATGCACTTACTTATACATACACATACATGCACACACTTTTTTTTTCAAAGTTTTATTGATAAACAGATAGCAATGAGACAGTTTCAAATCAAATCAGAAGTACAGTTTCAACAAATAATACACTGCAT